AAATTAATTTTGGACTATTAAAATGTAAAACACCACTGTCAGTAAGACTTTTATTTGTATATTTCTTTAATTTTATTTGCTTCTTAATTTGTTTTTATTTCAATTTGTTTTTAAGCTTAAGCATTTTTCTGCATGAATACTGTCTTTATTGTTTTTTAGATTAATTGTAATTAACTGTCTATCGCTGTGTCAGGAAATTTTTTCATACAACGTTAAAAAATCAGGAGATATTTTAAGAAATAAGATTTTTCTCAACAATAAAAAGATTTTTTTAAACGATAAAAGTATATTTTTTTACATGATAAAAGTACATTTTTTAACAATGAATTAAGTTTAAATATTTACTTATTAATATCTGAAATCAGTTACTAATTCCTAAATGCAAACAGTACAAAAGCACTTGCATGTAAAAAAAAAAAAAAAAAAAAATTTTATTATTTGCATCTTTTAACAAAAAAAATAATATAATCAGTTTTCATATAAATGCTATCAACAGCGGAAGAAAGAAACTTCATAATTTTGTTCATAGCAATAGTCATGTAGACCTGCTTTTGCTAATAAAAGTTTTTATGGTGTGTCATCACTAATATTAGATCTAAATTTAATCCCTGTTTTCACAACAATACTGAAAATCTTCTCAACACTCTGGATTACTGTGAAGAATTATCAGGATAACGAACATTATTCTAGACAGTTCAATGTACTTTAAAAACTTATTTTTGTCTTTCTCTGAGAGTTCTACCACTGCTTTTTTAGATGCAGGCCCTATTACCAAATCTTCACCTTTCTTCTGATTTTCTATTTCACCATAAATCACATCACATATATAGAATTAGAAGACAAAACAAAGATTGATTTCACAAACTTCGATAAAAGATCTTAAAACAACAGATCATAATCATTCATCGCAAAACATGAATTAATGGAATTCTGCTTTATAGAACTGTGTTAAGAACACTGAATGACGGCAAAATGAATTGTACAAAAAAGCAAAAAGCTTTGTTAAAGTCCTAAGACAAAAGTATAAATATTCGTTCCTGACAAGATCTAATTGGAAAATGCTCCCCTTTCCTAGTTTTTTTTTTTTTTTTTTTTTTTTTTTTTTTTTTTTTTTTTTTTTTTTTTTTTTTTTTTTTTTTAATTTTTTTTGAGAAAGAGAGAAATTTATATCAGCTTATATTTTATAGTATTTTCAGAACTGTCAATGTAATGGCTCACTGACACAGAAATTTATTTTTTCAAACCTATTTTTAACAGTGGAAGTAGTAACTACATCTCTATTTACTTTACATATTTTATAACTTTCAATAGAGCCTTTTATCTTAACTCTAGGAGCATGGTTACTTCTTTAAAAAATGCAAGAGGCGGGTTCCATTGGTCAATGATTCTAGATAAACATTTCTTTAAAGATAGCCAGAGTGTACATACATGTTTCAAAATTTTTCTTATTTCAGTATTATGCAGCTGTTGGGTTTGTTTCAATTGTTCCTTCCTTTTAGAACTCTTTTCAAGACGATAATAAACATCAAGAATATGCAAACACTTATGGTGCACCTCATAATTTGCAAATCTGAATTTTTCTTTTTTTAAGATAAATGCAACATGTCTTCAAGCCTACCATTATGGGCACCAAGTGTTTAGCAATTATCCAGAGGAATTGCATTTTCTCTTAAAATTTTAATAATTTACTGTGCTATATTAAAGTCTATCGAATGTCCTTCTAAAGTGGGGACAAAAAGTAAACAACACTCAATTTACAGTTACCATTCATAGAGAGGCAGAATGAAGCTGCTTAACTGAAGATTTAATTTTTCATACCTGTTTCTTTAACAATTGCAGCCATTTTGGTCCTTGCACTTGACTCAGCAATTTCCCTATCCAGAAACATTTTTTTAAATAAAGCTGCAGCGACATCTTATGCACTCAGTGGCTGACTGTGCTCCAGTAAAAAGGCAGAGAACCGGCATTCAGCATTAATAACTTTTAGGTCCTTTGTTTCCACAGAAAAATTTAATTTTCAATTTTTTTTCAACAGAACTCATATTAATTCAGAAGTCAAACAACAAAAATCAGCGTTATACCTACAAAATTTTCACAGGACTAGTTTCGATGGTTTTACCGAACCATCATCTTCAGCTGCAAAACCGCAAATGAATGAATCATTCATTTCTGAATTAGAACTCATATTGTCCATGCGTTTTTGTTTACACATATGTTTGAGAACATCAGCCCTTTCACCATGCAAAATCAAAACAATCGCAATGCCTAACTACACCTCAAAATGTATTCATTTCCTTAGGAATAACAGAAGAATGTCATCTGCATATGATTTTTGTGAAGTACATGAATTTCATCTTTTTCTCCATAACAAAAACAAAAGATCGTGATTCTTAAACTATTTCTTGAAACATGTACACTCACATTCTTAGCGACAAGAAACAAATAACAGCCTTGATCTTGCTTTGTTTTCATTGTCTAATATATTCAGATGGACACACAGGGCTTGATGCTCCATGACATTTTCAGACACATTGCTCTACTCAAAAAGAGAAGCATACCATAATTTCTCACTGATGAAATGACTGTGTTTCTTTCATAACCTAGAGAAAAACTAAATACTTTCAAGTGCCCAAAAATCACTTTTTTTTTTTAAATTTTATTTTGTGTGTATGTGCGATGATAACGAAGTATTAAGCCAAGCTACATAAAAATGAGAAATTTTAAGAATAATAAAGTGGTGAGAGAAATATGTTGTAAATTTGGTTGGTGGAAGAATTGTCAGAAATCTAATGAAATCCATCTAAATTAGGAGAGGTGGTATTTCTGTAAATGGGAAGCATAATTTAGATAGTAAATGTGTACTATTGTTGAAATCAAAAATTAGAATTTGTAATTCATTAAACAAACTGGTAATTAAAGTGCTGATTAATGATTATCTAAATTATATTACACATTTCTTATGATAAGTTCCATTTACATATTCTCTGTTAAATTACTTCTTAATTTTAGCAATGATAGTGCAGGATTTTACATTTTAAGTTCTTTTAAAACCAATTTTTTAAATTTAAAGTTTTTCTACTTGTATTTCTTTACAAATATTATATAAGAAATATATAAATAGGCTAAAAATTTGAATAAAAAAAATTTTTTTTAATGCATCCTGCGCTATAGCTGCAGGATGAAAGTAAAATAAACTTAAAACATCTAAATTAATTAGTAAATTGGAATAAAAGGAAGGCAATTCCTCTATAATATAATTATTGTAACTGTGTATAAGAGTTTATAACATAATATCAGAACTAAAAGCAACGAGTTATAACTGATCATATTCAGCAATTACAGTTTTTAAATATATGATAAGAAATTATGATTTATTTATGAATTATACTTTGTTTATAAATTATACTATTGTTAATAAAAAATTAATTAAAATTAAAAAATAACTGTTATTAAAATGAAGCCAGACAATCTAAAATATAAATTATATTTTAAGATTTAAATTATTTTTAATTATTATTATTAAATTATTTTTAAGATTTGCTTCAACTAATACTGCATCATGATTTTTGGATCAAACTGCTTTATTTTAGTTATCAAGAAGTTTATGAATAAAATAACAAACAAAGAAAGGAAGTTTGATTGATCAAACACATAGTGTCATCTTTGTTTCTGCTATAGATCATACAAACGAAAATGCCTATTTTAAAATTAAGGCACTATTTATTATAAAACATAATCCAATTATCCAATCTCCTGCGAAATGTCATACATAGCAAGAATATAGGGAGAATTGAGTAAGAAAATATGCATCTTTCATATGGCTAAGTCATTACAAACCTATGCTGTTTTTTGTATTGGTTCAGTCCATAAATTTTTGTGTATTTTTTGGTAATAATATAAAAAAATAAAAGTAATATATAAAAAACACAATTAAAACATTTCAATCAATTATATATCTTCCCTCCATTATCTACAATGTCTCGCCATCTTACGGCAGCATTTTATGCCATTGCTGTAGAAAGACTGGTTTTGATGCACAAAAACTTGAAAGTTCATTGTGTACATCCTATTTAGAATTTAATTTTTTTCCCAGTAAAAAAATTTGTAAGGCACGCAAAGAAGTGAAAATCACTTGGGCAATATCTGGGGAGTAAGCATGGATGTGGCAAAAGCTCCCTATTAAATTCACTCAATTTTTTGCAGCGTTGTTCGAGAGTCGTATGCGGTCTAGCGTTATCATGATGAAACAAAACTTTCTTCACATTCACCAGTCATAGGGGGGGGCGTTTTTTGATCAATTCTGAGTTTAGACGGCAAATTTGTTCACTATAAACTTCTGAATTAATCATTTGATTTGGTTCTAACAGTTCAAAACGTCCTGAACGGGGTTCATCATCAATGTTGCTTTTTCCAACTTGAAATTTTTAAAACCATTTCTGGGCAGTCCTTACACTAATAGTGTGTTCACCATGCACACTATTAATTTTTATCGCTGCAAACCTGGCAGATTCACCACACAAAAATAAAAAACATAGCACAGCGCATTTGCACTGATTATCTATATTCATCTTTTATGGGTACTAAAATGTGTTCGATATTTACGAAAGTTGATGATGAACTGAATAATACATTAGTCAAACGATGACAAGTTTCAACAGGTTCAAAATTGTATTGTTTTAGTAATTGCGTCACAGTGAATTCCACACATACTCTTAATGCACACGAACTTATGCACTGACCCAATATATCCCGAAAAGTGGCATTTCTTTAGATATATGATCTGTTATTAACAATGCATTACTTAAACCAACATTCCAATACTTTACTTTGCAGGGTAAAATGAATATTCATTTCTAAAAACTTTCAGTTATGTAAAAGTCATTTTCCAATTTATAAAAACATATAAAAAAATTAACTAAGTAAACATTTCTATTTCAATAATTCAAAATTGTATTCTAGAAAAACAGATAGATTATCAAAATAAAAACAGATGTCTTTACCATGAAGCAGAAAGAACACATTATTAACTTTCCTGTTGAGACCAGCACCAACTTTCGCCCCTAAAGCGGTTCCAAGAGGACAGAATTCAAGTTTCTGCAATTAGAAAAAGGACTTAAATGCATGGCAAATACTTGGAAAAGTATTATCTAATAAAGAATTATTCTAATCTTAATGTCTCATACTGTAATTAAGTATAAAAAAAGAATCATTCTGTTGTAAAATGCAGGGCTATGGAGTCACTAAGGAAAATGACCAACTCCGACTCCTAGAATTTTAAAAGACTCCGACTCCCTCATATACATACATACATACATATATGTGATGTACCAGCTTTTGTCAGGAATAAATAAATTGGTGAAGAATCATAGATGTAGTCGTAGCTTAAATTATCAGACAATAAGTTTAAAAAACAGGATCCATTTATTATATCAGGAGAAATAACAGACAAAATCATATTTCCGGAGTAAATAAAAAAGAATTACTAATAACTTTTTGTATGAAGTTTACTGCATTGTTACATTTAAGAAAAAGCCCCCGATATTCCTTTGCGAGTCCTTTTATAGCCTCTGGAAAGGCGGAGCTTTCAAGAAATGACGTCAGCCAATCCAGTTCGCTTTAAATATTTCCAGAACATTCTATAACGGTACATGTAGAAAAAGCAGGAAAAACAACTTGACTACGGGGCTGTGGATTTAATTCCACGTACTTTCAAATAAGAGACCGTCGCCATTAAAAAATGAAAAGAACATACAGTTAGATTTTCAAGTGTATATTTGACTATGGAATTTTATAATTACATATATATATATATATATATATATATATATATATATAAACATATACACATGGTTTACAGATTATATTTTAATATAAAAGAAGTAACAGATGTTACAGAAAAAAATTGATGGCATAGCAAATTATTTATATTAATTAGCATTTATTATGAAATGGAAAAACTGGCATTAGTTATTTCTAAGAAACAGTTCTTTGTTGGAGGGCCATAGATCCTATTTGATAAACTTCAGAGCTGAGAAGAGTCTTTCCACACTAAATTGAGTAGGAGGAAGAGCTGTTACTGTTAGGTATACTTCTTTTAACTTTTCAGGATAGATTTTTTTTTAAGTTCTAAAAGAGGCGTCTTGCAAGCGCAATCATATTTCTCTATTTCTTCCAAGTAGAAATCTTATTTGTATTTTTTCATTTTTATATCTAAGGTCTCTTGTTTCTTTATTTTCATTCGCTTTGCCCTAGCCTTTTTAATATTATTCCAAAAATATTTCTCAAAAACTAATTCATCTTTGGAAGAGGATGATAGAGACTCAATTGCAATATTTGCAGTTTGACTGTCCTGATTCGAATTCTCCAATTGCTCTGAGAACAATTTGATTCTTAATGAAAGTTCATAAATGTCTTTCTTTGCATTTCTAATTTGTTCGTCATCCAAGAAAATTCGGTGTTTCAAATCTACATATATTGAACCCAGCAAGAACTCATTGCCTAGCAAACTAGTTTCTCTTTTCTTCACTGAAGAAATGATTCCTTCTGCAATAAACTCTCCATTTCAGAAAGAACAAACATCACATTCTTCCATTCTCGCCTCCAGTCAATTCTTCAGATTGCAGCTTTTTTGTGGCTGTATATGGTGTACAAAGAAGAGTTTCCAATTCTGCAAGATCATTCCACAGTATTTCTGTTAGTGAAACATTACAGTTCTCTACATCTTCTAAAAAAGTTCTTTATTCTAATAACCTCTTTATCATCAAATATGTACTTCCTTATCGCATTGCTTGATCAATAATTGCTCCTTTTCCTGCTCACTTCCTAAGAATACCGATCAATTTTAATTTCCTACAAATACCATCAAAGTTCTTGCTACTATTCCTGCTTACCTAAATTTACCAGTGAGAATTGTAACTAAATGAACCAATTTAATCACTAATAGCAAATATCACATCCATCTTTCTCCCTTATATTTATTTATTACTATGTCAATAAAATAGAAAATAATTATTTATTAATGTATATAATCCATAAACAAAAATAATAACTCAGCTTGTCATTTTTTCAATTCATTTTAATTTCATTTCAAATTCAAACTGTTCAACAAAAACTGGAGTCGGAGTCGACCTGTTTTTAGCAACTCCAGCTTCGACTTTTTTTACCACAAAATCTACCCGACTCAGATTCTGACTCCACAGCCATGGTAAAATGGCTTGCTGCATATTTCCGAATATAAGCAAATGTGTTTTTTTCTTCATAAATTTATCCAAAATTTAAAGCCCATATATAAGATGAAATGAAAAACAAAATTTAATTTCATGCTCATGTCACCATGAGGGGGAAAATGTTGCTAAGCAGGTAAAAAGGTGGATTATTTTCCAATCAAATTGCTGTAAAGTAAAATGTTAGATGCCAATGGTAGCAGTTTTAACTCTAGTAACCTTTATCTGAACCTAGCACATTTTATCCATTTAACTGTTGTCTTGTATATTAGTGATATCTCCAATAGTCTTCTTTTCTGTGCCACTTTATTTTTTGTCTGCAAGATAAGTGAAAAGAGAAATTCTTATAGACAAATTTCAAACTACAGGTAATCGAGTTTGAGGAAGAACAGCCCAAATAAAAGAAAGAAAATTATTACATATTTTGTTTTCATTTAGTTTCTGTTCATTTTCTTACAAAATTTAATTAGATTAGTGTGTATGTGCAATAATTTAATCTTTCTGAAATACATTTTCAATAGAAATAAGAAAAATTTCAAAGAATGATCCTTTACCCCCCCCCCAATCACAAACCTACAAATTTAACAAGTCTAATATGAAATTAGTAAAAAAAAAAAAAAAAAAAAAAAAAAATATTTGTTTTTTAACCCTTTAACTGTCAAGTTATTTTGATGATTTGGGTACACAAATTGTCAAATTTTTTTATTGCAAAAACCAAATGTTTAGTACAAAATAAAATATACTCAAGTAGTTAAAAATTGATATTTTGACGTACATGGGTAAAATTTTTAAAGTTTTGTAGCCACTGCATATTTGCTTTGAGGCGGCTGCCACTCAACATGGCAGTAGCAAAGTTCGCTTCTAGTGGAGCATTATTTTCTAAAAATGAAAAAAAAAATTAATTATTTTCTAAAACATAAATAAATATAAGTGAATACCTATTAGTAGTTCAGTAATTCAGTCTTGTGTGGTACAACTGGAAACACTTTTCCAAGCACAAACCAACTCCACAATCACTACACCAGAATCGTGATTCCTTCCTTATCTTTTCCCCGTTTTTATCCTTTTTCGAACAACACACTTTGCACTGTCTTGTAGGCTCACGTTTCGCAGGAGTAAGAGGAAAATGGGATATAAAATGTTGTTCAGTAAGACGGGCAGGGTTATCTATTGTAGGTGGTCTGCCAACATTCTTTTGTTCAGAAGCTGCATCATCATATTTATGTAAAAGCTCTTCTACAACTTGGATTCGAAATTCTAAAAATGTAATACGTTTCTCAACTACATTCTTATAGAGCAAATATGAGTTCCAGAGTACCTTGTCTAGTAAATGTAAAAATATCTTTTTTATAATATTTTTTCTGACGTTTTCGGATTGCTGGATGAAAGGATATTTCCTGATCACAGCGATCTACACCACCCATAGTTAGACCGTAATTAGAAACAATCTTCGGCTTGAGTATATCTCCAGTTTTTATTTTTGAGGCTGACCATGGAAGTATCATGAATACTGCTCATCAAACACACATCCTTCACCTTCGGTTGAAGAATCTAAATCATCTATATAACATTTCAAAGAACTGGAGGCTATTTTACAACAAAAAGACCCCATGCACTTTGAACCAAATAACCTCTAACCTTTGAAATCTTCAGTAAAGTGCTGTCATCTATTGAACTGAGCGCACATTAACTTTTCCCGAGATACAGACGGGTTTGACAAAGAGATGAAGCCGAAATAAACGTCTCCCGATATATATTCGGGTATAACAATACGATGCACTCAAAAAAAAAAAAAATTACCCCGAGTAATACTCGGGCGTGACATTTTCTAACACCAGTGCTGTACCCGAGATTATATCGGGCATGACAGTTAAAAGGTTAAAGCAACAAGTTAATAAATAATTTTCATTCCATCAGCATTACATGTTAATATAGATTATCGTCATTCAAAAATCAGGAAAAATAAGAAATAAGATACAAAATATAAAAGAAAGAAATTGATAGGGGGAAAAAAGGAACAATGAAATACCTCATCAGCCATAAAAAATATTTATGAAATTAAACTTTTATTGTGTACATGAGCTTATGACAACATTCCAGCTATCACAGCTATAGAAATCCAGTAAATAAATTGCACACTACAGATCAGAATACTAGCAGGGTTCGTACACACTTCTTATGCACATAGAAATTGTCTTTTTAAGAAGTCTTTTTTTTTTTTTTTTTTTTTTTTTTTTTTTTTTTTTATCAATGAAAAAAATGAAGGTCCTATCAAGCAACTAGGAACTGAATAAACTAAAGCAATTATCTACACTTGAACTTTACTTTTGTAGTTTGTAAGAATAAAATAAACTATATTGATTTTAAAAAAAGCTACACAAAATTTACGTTTTGTAGCAACAAACAACAAAATGTTTATGTGTCTTTTTAACTTAAAAATTTTTCAGATTCAGCTAATTTACATAGATTTCCTTTTCTTTATCATCTTTTCTAAGTTTATTTGTTTCAATAAACAAATCAATATACCCACTAGTCTCTGCTTTATCTCCTAATGTGCTAATGTTTCAACAACGTACCTTTGAAGAGTAATGTTCTCTCTTTTTATAAAAACAATTTCATTTTCAATGACTTTCCTCTTCATTTTAGAATTTTCATATTTAATTAAAGATTTTTGCTATTCTAAACAATGCTTGTACTTTGAACGTATAGAAGAAACTAATTTTATTTCTTTGATAATGAGTATTGAAAATAAATATGAAATGAAATAAGGTCAAGACAGGCACCAAAGGCAGTGGTGGCAGAATTTTTATAATATCTTGAAGTACCAAGCAACAAAATTTAGGAAAAAACTTTTAGAATTTTGAGCAGGCCCTGAGGACACTGAGGCATAAATGATGAATCTTTTAATTAATTGTTGGTTTTTAATTTCTTTGCTTTCTTTGATACTTGTACCTACAGAAAAGCCAATAAAGGGAATATAAACATATTAAAAGAAAGACTTTTGAGATCAAAATGAGAAAATTCAGATAATTTTCTTTTCACTGTATTATAAAACATATCCATTGCATGTTAATATGATGAAGATACTTTAAGATACGATTTTAGATAAGATCTGTTGGTATTTCGTCACATTGTTCTGGAAATTGTACTTCTATAAATCTTGCTTTCAAAATAATAATCTATAAATCTATACCTTCTGAGGTACAAGCTCTAAAATCCTAAAGAAATATTATCTCTAACAAATGCTATAAGAGCAAAAGGCCCAAAGATTTTTGAGAAAAAAATTCAGAAAAAAGAAGGGTGAAGTGAATTTTCAAAAGAAAACTGATAAACATTTAAATAGTCTGAAATAATTACATTTGAAACTTTTAATATGAAAAAATATATAAAAAGAAAAACAAAATTTATTTTTAAATAATTATAGTAGCATTTTTATTTTTCATAAGAAGTGTTTCAGAAACTGCACTTTATAGCGTTTATTATTTTTTAAAATCAAAATATTTCTAAGTGACCAAAATGGAAAGTAATGTCACTTTAAAATATGGCAGGAAAAAATAAAATGCTTTATTTTAATGCTATTTCTTACATACAGTTTTAATTTATTATCATTATTTTTAAGACAATTACCAATGTTATTATGTTTATAAAAAAGTCAAAATTTTGCAAATCTCGAAATAAAAAATGTTGTTGTATACAAACTGATTTTGAAATCGCCAAAATGTCGATAAGTTGATAAATTTAGTGCTACATAATAAAAGAACGCATATCCCCAAAAGGAAAATTTGTTTCTGATGTAATATTTTATACACTCTTCATTTGCAAAACAATGAATTACTTCGAAATATTTATGTTTCAATCAAAGCAGGACCTTGTGGTTCTAAAACTTAACTATTCACCATTTATATTAAGAAGCAGGAAAGAATACAAACGTTAAACCATCAAATAACCTATTTGTCCATGCATCGGCAAAAATTATTCCTCCAAAGTGTTAATTCCCACTCCAACTGGACGCATTAAAAATAAATAAGTAAATAAAATTTGAAAGATTTCAGATTTTACATAACGTCCAAAAGGCATTTTTTTTAACATAATGTGTGTTACCTTTATTTATTAAATATAATATTTTTCACACTTAAACCATAAAATTCAGTTCAAGAGCAATACTGCAAAATAATTTTAAATTGAGCATATCTTCAGAATTTCCAATACACAGTCTAGCATGCTGGAGATAAAAATGTTTTTTTCTGTACAGCGTTGCCATTGCTCACTTTGAAATCCTTAAGTTTGTTAATCAAAAATTCATTTCAGAATTTCCAATACACAGTCTAGCATGCTGGAGATAAAAATGTTTTTTTCTGTACAGCGTTGCCATTGCTCACTTTGAAATCCTTGAGTTTGTTAATCAAAAATTCATTTCAGAATTTCCAATACACAGTCTAGCATGCTGGAGATAAAAATGTTTTTTTTCTGTACAGCGTTGCCATTGCTCACTTTGAAATCCTTGGGTTTGTTAATCAAAAATTCGTTAAGAGTTTTATAAAATATGAAATCGATAATAAAACAAATTCCAAATCCGGGCTTCCAGATGCCCATATTTGCAGTAGGATTATGTCATTCAAAATTGGATGGCTCTAGGTAACGTTGTTTTATCACAATGCGAGAAACATACATACGTTTATGCGGATTCTTCATTATTTAATTTCTTCAAATATAATACAAGATGATAATATTTGGTGGCAACAGTCTGAAAAGTGAAATGGACATTCAGAGTGATTCGATGCAAAAATAGCAAAATGAAAACAATAGTCCCTCACGAACAAAGCCCCTTTAGACTAATAATAATAATAATAAACAGAAATGTCAGATGAGCAAAAATAAGGACCTTTTGTCAGTTTTGCTGAAATTAAGGACTTTTAAGGACCAAAAATCATTTTCAAAAAACCTAAGGACTTTTGCGGTTTGTATAATCCATGTACGAGGCATGAGGCATATTTTTTAAGTAAGTACCATTTTTAAATATGGCCATTACAGCACTGCAGTTGCTGTTCCATGCATGTCCACAGAGTACTTACATCTGTTGGTTAGTCTCAGATAATATATTGGTTTTGTGTTTATGTTTCTTTGTGCACATTTAAAATGCCTCAAACAACAGAAAATCCTGCTATTTGTAAAACGTGCTGTAATGCATATGAATGCAGAAAACATGAAAGCTGCTGAAATTTGTTGATAGATTAGTGAACTGTGTAAAGAAAACACTACAAGTGCTGGAATGATAAGAAAATGAATAAAGACAGCTGTACTAATGTAATTATAAGGAACATAGTAGGCAATTGCCTGCCAATAATGAAGACTTGATGCAGAAAGTTGATGCAAAAGTTCAAGAAAAGAGATACTTTATTATTTCATCATTAAGTGATGAGTTTCCTTAAATTTCAAGCAGTGTTCTTCAGGAAATTGTGGCAGAATGCTTAAATTATCCGAAATTAGGCTCACGCTGGATACCACAATTGCTGACTAACAAACACACACAAAGCCAATTGTATAGCCAGTGCTTTGCTTTCCTTCAATGGTACATTGATAACGGTGATCAGCATTTAAGCCAAATTGTCCTTCACTTGAAAAAGCATCTAGGCAGTCAGGGCTACGACGATGATGGTAACATCAAAATGGCTGCCCTGCAAACGCTGGCAAATCAGGCAGCAGATTTGTGTTATTTGAATGGAATTTAGAGGGTGGTTGTATGCAGTGGTGTAACGAGCATAACTGGCACCTGGGGAAAAAATATCTTTTTGGTGCCCCCCCCCAAAAAAAACACAGTAATATAATGTATAAATATATTCGTAATAAGAAAATAATGCAAATAATAATAAAATGCTGAATCTGCCATAAAATACTCTAAAATATGTTAAGAACAGGCACTACCTAACTGCACTAACATTGGATTTAGAAATGTATCAGTGTCGGCTGAAAAATCAGACATACGATGATCTGGAATTATTTAAAAAGGTATTATTTATTTTACATATTTATATAAGTGCTTTTAAAAAAGTACAATTTTTAAACAATTAAAAATTTATATTATAGATAAGTAGATATATTTATTAATAATAATATAATATTATAATACATTAATACAATTAATTACTATGTATACATTTTTTTTTTTTTTTTTTTTCATTGGATGAAGCAAATTTATCAATTACTTCATCAAAGTCGATCCTTTCAAATTTTTCTCTTTCCACATTTAAAAATGCTAGATGACTTAGAAGAACTTGTCCACCATTGATTATAAATATGACATTTGATATTGAAATAGTAGGGAGTATTTGAAGTGCAACTAGGTTTTGAAAAACATTTTCTCCATATATGTGTAATGGAGATTAGGTTTAATTTCCTTTCTACTGCGGAGTAATATCTTGCAGTCACATTCACTGCTCAAAACAATTAGGGGATATTGTGAATTCGGTATGAAATAACCATATAATCGACAACCTTTTTAACAAAAAGAAATAGAAGAGATTATAAAGGAAAATTATAATGTTCACAAAGTTGGGAATATACAAATTTAGTATGTGACATCGAAAAATATGTGTTTCAGATAAGGAGTAAGGAGCGATCTGCAGCATCCCTTTTGTAGTAGGAGATTAAAAACGATTGACATGCGTTGAATGCTTTGTAGCAGTGAATAGATGATGCCTCAGCAAGATGACTTAGTTGAATCGATAGCCAGGAAGGCCATCGGCCGTTTACAGGAGAGTCAAACAAAATCCATTGAAGGCGAAGCATTAGGAGTTTCTCAAAATGTCATTTTCAGACTATGGAATCGGTTTTTGGAAACTGAATATGTTTGAGAAATTCAAGACAAGGTCGTGCTAATCGTTTTAAAATAAAAAGCGGGAGCTATATGTGCATTTCGTTTAAAAAAAATAAAAATATGTCTCTATTTTAGAGAAATAAAATGGTCAAAGAACGTTTTCTATACGGAGATATTTGGTTGATGTACTGCAAACACTTTATTACACATTTTATCAGACAAATCACGGAAATTAAATAATTAATTATATTACAATAATTATTAATTTTAAATATATTTTCGAGAAATCGATCAAAAGAAAAACTCGAATTGTGCTGAAAATCTTGTTTGGAGACCATTTAGCACCCCTCTGCGAGCGGTGCCCGGGGCAACATACATCCCATTGTCCCCCCTCGCTATGCCACTGGTTGTATGATATGATATGCACCTTACTATTGGTGGTAATAATTAATGAAATATAGATTAAGATGCAGACTTTCATGTAAAAAAAAAAATTGTACTTAACTTTTTTTTATATCAAAATTGTACTTATTTAAAAAATACACCTTGTATTTTAATGTTTTGGCACTATGGCTAATCTTTATCTGGTCATGAAATTTGCTGTCACTAGATATCTTGTTGTTTAAAATATTTTGTTCTTATATCTTTTAATGGTGTAGATATTATTTTAATCCACAGAAAATTATACAAATATAAAGTAAAGCAAGGACAGATACATATATAGTTACTGTTTAGATATGATTATATTATCGATGATCAGATCCAAAAAGCTTTAATGCATAGAGGATAAACAACTCAGCTTTGAATTTCATATAATCTGATCATATAGCCACTCTTTTTCACATTTAAATCACACATTAAGAGTTTTTTATTCTCTTTCCAGTGCATATGCCAAATAGATTTATTGCAACCGTGGTACATTAATAACTATTACATATAAAACTGAAAAAAAAAAATAGTAAAGGAATTTTGGATTTCAAAAACATTACTTATACAATTAATTTGATCTTAAATTTAGAAAGGAGAAAAGTAGGTTATTACCTCAATTCTATGCACTTCTTTATTTGTCTCATTAAATTTTATGACACTAAAAAAAAAAAAAAGGAAGAAATTAATTCAAATCCTAAACATATAAAATTGCATTCATGTTCAACTAACAGTTCTTTTATTAAAGTAAACATAAATTTTATGCAGGCAAAATACGCTTATATACGTGAAGCATTGTGATATTTTTTTGGTTTGTTTTTGTTTTCACAACTTTATTACACAGGGCTCGTAGCCACATTTTAGTTAAAAAAACATAAGCACCTATAAGCACTTTTCAAGCACATTTTAAGGAAAAAATAAGCACCTGTCTAATTACATTAAACACAACTGCATAACCTTAAAAGAAAAATTAGACTTGTAATTTAAAATAGGAGCAATGCAATATATATTAAGAGAATAAGCATTACCTCAACCATGGAAAACAAGATATCTAGTGTTTTCCATGTTTTTTTTTTTTTTTTTTTTTTTTTAATTTCAACTTTTTTTTTTAAATTTTAAATGACAGTTCAATTTACAGAATTAGTTTACAATGAGAGAAAAAAAAAAACTATGCTGAACTAAACTATATTACAAGATTTAATGATGAAATTTCAGTTCAAAATATAGAAAATAAATAATAATAAGCCATATTAATTGTATTCGTTTGGCACCTAATAATAAATACAATTTATTTTCCACTCATATTAATATTTAAATAATTTAACTTAAATCAAAATTCTGAACATTTTCTAAATTTTCATCGCATAACAGTTTGGCCCTTAACATATATTCCAAAGCACAATAATTTAAGTAAAAAAGACGCATATTTCTGAAATCAGAAGACGGGAAATTGCTTCATGCAGTCATCCTTAAAAGGATAACAGTAAAAGCTTAACTAACCCGCATACTCGGAAATTGCTGAATACTCCAGATAGTAACTGGAAAAAGAGGAGTGGGGGAGATTGTAGCCGTTCTTTAGATTTCTCGGCTAAATAAATGATTTTAACATTTCGATATGTGCATCATATAAAAATAGACCAACGGAACTGAGAAATATTCTGCTTAGAAAGCACAGTAAAACTCTTTTAAGTGTTCATAAACAAATCTCAGACTGAACATCAAAATTAATTATCTCTGCAAAATACCGCAAACGTTATTGCGCAATATGTGCGGCGTAATTCTTCCACATGTGATATTACGCAATCAGAATCAACAGATATTCGGAGAATAAAGTACTAAAAGGAAAAGAAAGAGACTTACTAATCTGGGGTCTTTCTGATTCTAATTTTCAACAGACTGCGTTAAATTTCTGGGATAGAATCAATCTTCACTTGGGTTGGGTAGACCGCAAAAAACTTTTAGTCCTATTCAATCCAGATTGGAGAGAAAAAAAGAAAAGTCTGCTGCTTCAATATCAGAGATTTTGCGGAGAAAGGGGAGAACCTCCCAACCTCCGTACTGTATAATGTATTGGAAAAAAAAAATTATTATTACGACTATTTGATTGCTTTCCTTTTATTTAAGCCATTTTGAATATTATTCGTTAGAAAGCTAATCTGTGTAAAAACACACCCATTTTTGGAAGTTTATCTATACTTCAGCAGTTAGTGCAACTATATTATTATAAATATTTATGCATATGCTCAGAATATAAGCATAATTTATAATAAACATGGATATGAACTGACCACGTGGAACGAGAATGTAAATTATTAAAATCTTGGTAGAAATCCAAACGTGTGTAGTATTTGGGAGGCAGGAAAAGAATACCGAATGTACCGGAATTTTCTACCATTTTCACAATTCTTAGACCAATAGAACGACGTGCACCTGTCTGTACTCTCGCGCGCACCATAGGATACTCTTAATTTTTTTGAAAAAACTGAATAAAAATTAAATTTTGCAAAAAATCCATAATACATCTATTAAAAATAAAGATAATCTCGCATGCTGGACATAAAAATGCATTTTTCTGTACAGTGTTGCCATTGCTTGCTTCGAAATGAATTTGTTATTAAAAAATTCATTAAAATGTTTTATATAATGTAAAATAGATAATAAAACAAATTCAAAATTTGGGCTTCCAGGTGACCATGTTTGGGTGGAGGATTAAGTTATTCAAAATTTGATGGCTCCAGGTATTGTTGCTTTTTCACAATGCAACAAACATACCTACACTCCTACACATTCTCCTTTACTTAAATTTCTTTTAAAATAACAGAGGGGGACAATATTTTGTTGCAACAATTTGAAAAGTAATTCAGCCTTTTCCAGTAATTCAACACAAAATCCCATTTGAGATTGATAACCCTTCTGAGCTAATGCTCCTTTGGGCTAAAAATTATCATGCTTTTTAAATGTAATTCTTGTTCTTGTAAATATAGATTTAGTTTATCAAGTTAAGATATCTCTCAAATATATGAGTTTTAAAACACATCATTATACAGTGATTTCACAAATTATACACTATTATGTGCATATACGGGTTCATAATGGACTGAATGCACACAAAATTAATGATAGCTTTATAAAATTTATTTTCTCCAAAGAAACATTTACAGCTCTGGAACTTTACACAAAAGTACTTGTACAGCTCTTCTCAGTATGACAGAGCACAATTAGTACTTACAACTTCAGACTACTATGAATGTTAAACACAATGCAATGCAATGCAAAGCACATCTAAAGAGTGAATCTCGCATAGAGATCTCTCAGTACTATGAAATCAACTCTGAAATAAATACTGAGAGCTGCTGTCTCTCTCCAGATTTATACAGTTTTTCCTCAGCTGCCAATATATTTCCAGCACCTTATTTCTGGAAATTGCTAGAAGGCAAACATAGGTCCAAATACAAAACATAAATGTTTTTGCATAAATGTTTTGTACAAAACATAAATGTTTTGTAGCAACAACACTCAACAAAATATTTATGCATCTTTTTAATTTGAAGCCTGGCCAGACATTTTGTCTAATTTATATCGATTTCCTTCTCTTTAAGCATCTTTACTAAGAATTAGAAATTTCTCTCAATATGCAAACCAATGTTATCACTAGTTTCTGCATGCTTTATCTCCTAACTTGTCAATCTCTCCACAATGTACCTATTAGGGTTTACGTGATCTGGTAAAAGTTAAATAGACAAAAAAGCTCCGACGGATGTGAAGCAAGTTACCGCTATGTCTCAAAGTAATTACAAAGTCAGGCAAAGGCTTAAATAAGCCTCTTATTTAAAAAGAATTTAAAGGCATGTTCTTATGCTAACCAATTCAATTGCAGTTTGTGGTGATGTAATTAAACAAGAACAATCAAATTCAAACAAAAAAATGTGGACTAGTCAAAGACTATACAATTTAATTTTAATTTAAGCTGGTTCAATAACTCTATCGTCATAACAAATTCAAATGTCAGCAGCAATAATGCAAAAACAAAAAGTTACAAATTATCAGAGCTGGCAGGAACTAATGCAGCGAGCAAGCGAAGATTAAAAACACATTCTGTCTTACAAACCAAAAACCTCAGTTTAAAAACCGCCTAAGTGATTTGCATTCTGGAGAGGAAATAGAAACGGGAAATTATAGTAAAAGCTGAAATTATAATAAACTGGGTAATTTACATAATAATACTTGTAAATATATATATATTTGAAGAAAAATTTTCTTTCTCTGTATGTATTCAGTTTCTTTCTTTAACATGCTTCCTTTTCATTTTAGAATTTTTGGACTTAATTAAAGATTTCTATTATTCTAAAACTACTAAATGCATTTACAATGTATAGAAAAAGCTGCTAATTTTATTTCTTTAGTAATATGAACATTCAGAAGAATTATGAAATATATATGGTAAGGGCCGATTACAGAGCTGGTGTGGCAGAATTTTTAGATTTTAGTGACACACCGAGCAACAAAATGTAGAAATGGCAAAACATTTAGAATTTAGAGCAAGCACTGGAAGCAGAATTTAGAAAGGCACTAGTAGGCAAAATTTAGGATCTACAGAGATAAGTTTAATATTCCACACGCTTACACCAGGTGGGAAAGTACCTAGTGTCAGACCTGTGTATGATGCATAAAGACATATTAGATGAATCTTTTAAATTGCCAGTTTTCAATTTCTTTATTAATCAAAAAATTCCTTTCTATAATGCCTGTTCATGTGATAAGATTAGAAGCATTTTAAATATTTTCTATACTTGTGTCTAGTAAAATGTAGAGAAAATAAAGAAAATATAAACATGTTAAGAAAAAGTATCAAAGGTAAAACATTCAAATATTATGTTTTCATTGTTCTTCCAGATGTTCTCCAAAAAGTAAGAAATTCATTGCAAACTTTCTGTAAAATACATCCATTGCGTGTTAATACCATAGAGACATATTTCATTTTGTCACGTTTTTCTAAAATCTTCTGGAATCGTGGGTCTATAAATCTTGCCTTCAAATCCTTCTAAGCTTTCCAAGTCGCATCCTTCTTCAAGTTGTAATGTCTAATGTCCCGAAGAAAAATTACCCTACCAATTTTGTAACAGCAAACAGCCAGAAATATTTTGAAAAAAAAAAAAAAAAAAAAAAAACATTAGACGGAAAAGTGCAAAATTAATTTTATAGAGAAAACTGATGCACATTCTGAGAATTCTGAATACTCTGAGACAATTACATGAGAAAACTCTTATCATGAAAAAATTTAAAAAGTGATTTTTAATTAATATGTTATTTTTTAAATATAGTTTCAATATATTACTATTATTTTAATGATATTTATCAATGTTAGAATGTGTAACACAAAATCGTTGAAAAATTCCCAGATCATGGAATTTAAAATTTTCTATAGAAACTGATCTTAAAAATCGCCAAATTTAGACCCGTTCAATAAAAGAATTCACATCCCCAAAACCAAAAAGTTGTTTAAGAGCTCTTCATCAGAAAAAGTGAAATAATTTCGAAATACTTGTTTCACTTCTTGCTCAGAAACTCGAGTATTAGAAATAGGAACAAATCATAACCCATTCAAATAACCCTATTTATGTGAATTGCCAAAAATATACCTCCAAACTGTTAATTCACACTCAAAACGGCAGTCGCAAAAACAGACAGAAATTTCACATGATTAAAATTAAGGACCTTCGGCCGATTTTGTCCAAAATTAAGGACTTTTCAGGATCAAAAATCAATTCCAAAAAACTTAAGGACTTTTCAGGATCAAAAATCAATTCCAAAAAACTTAAGGACTTCTAAAGACTGTACGAACCCTGCTGTGGAATTCTGAAGAAACTGACACATCTTTATTTAAAAAACAAACAGTATTCAATCAAGATCTTTTATGAGCTTCATAAAAAGGCTTTCATTAATTTCATCCATTTTATTATGCTTTTTGTTACAGAAAACACAATTTAGAATATTATGAATACAAGTTTCTCGCAAATAACTCTTCCATCTCTTACCGTTTTGTCAGTCATATTTAGCTGATCAACTGCATCAGTTAATACACATATTTCTTGGTGGGAGAATTCCATAGCTCTGAAAATAATTCACTGTTTGTTGTTTTGCAGAAGGCAGGTGCTAAACTTTAATACCTTTTTTCTGCCAAAATCCAAGAAAAAATACACACTGCTCATAAAAACAAAAGGTGGTTTATCAAGAATCAGTTGGGAGTATATCAAACAAAAGCACAAATGGTATGACTGTATTGTTACCTCACACATATCCATAAATGGGACTAAAAATAGGTACTGTTCTGTTATCAGGACTGGATCCAGAAATGTATGTATGTATGTGTTCATGTATGCATGCATATATGTAAGCATGAATGCATGTGTGTGTACATATCCACATATATGCACATACATACACACATGCATATATTCATACATTTCTGAATCTGGTCCCGATAACAGAACAGTGCCCTAAAATATGTTGTTTGGCTACAATTTCACAGTTGAGAGGATATGTACACAATATACATACATACCTTGTATAAGTGAAGTTTAGAAGATCAAGAAAGCCATAGCCATAAAAACCCCAAGTGTCACCACAGTAAAAAAGAACAGAATTTTCTCTGCAGGCTTTATTTACTTTAATTAAAATATTTAAAGGGCTGTTTGTTGCAAAAACTGCCTGAAAGCCAGCAAAAAATTCTGTTGGTTTTGAGCTTATGGGTTCAGTGTCAATGATGATTTCCACATTAGGATTAAGTTCCTGTATAGCAGCTTTGGATGCTTCAGCTCTCTAAAAATTTGAAATATCAATATTAAGTATTTCAAAATAAATTTCAGGAATTCAATTCAACCAGATATATCAGATATATATTAACTTAAGATTTCACTAGTGTAAAATTTTAGTAACTAATAATATTAATACCTTTTATAAAAATTTTCATTTCTATATTTCCATTGTCACAATTAAAAGTGTACAAATGCTAAAATATTCATAAAAATATAGCATTGTTTTACACAGAATTACAACACCATTAATAACTTAAATTTTTACATTTAGGAAATATACAACAACTCCATCGTATTCATACCAAATCGTTCTTGTTTCTGAATAAATACATATCTAAGTAATTCAGGACTTCCACTAAAAGTAAGCTATAAACAATGTTAATTGCTATCAGATTATTCTGTTTACTTGTTTTCTGTTATATTCCATCTGCTTTTAGTAAAAATCTATTGAGCTGAATGTTTGCAGCTGGCCCAGGTTAAGGTTTTTAGAGTATCAAAAAGAGTTTCATATGAATAAGTCATATGACCTATCATTCTAATTTTACATCTTTTCTTCGTAGCTGAATGTAATAGCAAGCATTTAAAATAAAAACACATTTCAAAATAGAAAAGCAGTGATTTTGTTTATATTACCCTTATATTCCAATAAGAGTAAATGAGAAACAGAACATTAATAGCTGTACACTTAATTTATGTTTGTGATTTAACAAATTATTTTTATTGCGTGACTAGGAAGAATATATTTCAACGTCCCACCTTGGCGAAAATGTGCAATTTTCTGGCACCATTCCTATTTAAGTGCAACACCCTCACAAATAAAACAATGTCCAGACCATAATGTAATAAAACATAAAAAAATTAGGTAAAAATATATTTACAGGTCAGTGAAAATTAGGGATTTTTGGCGATGCACGGATCCCGAGTTTGTGCAATTCTTTGACTTGTTATTTTGGCTTGTGTAGAGGCGATTTTTGACCCAAAAATTAACTTATTATTTTCACTTAAAAAAACATCAGAGAAATAGGGGTGCGCAATGCATAAACTAGACATTGCGCACCCCCTTTGTCTATGTACACCTCAAACTATATTCACTTAAAAAGTCAGAGGAGCAGCCAACAAAAAAAATATACAATCTCAATAAACTACATTTGAAATCAAACAATGAAATAACATAAAAAACGAAATTCATTTTTGCACTACACAAAGGAAATATCCACTTATTTAAGAATTAACACGTCTTCAGTCAAACAAAATTCCTTAACAGCTTCCAAAAACTTCCTAAAATTATCTGAACTAGAATCTGTATATGGGCATCAGCACATAAATTCACAAAATAAGAGTAAAAAATATCCTAATTAGCGCTGTTATCGTCCGAAGTTCAAATATGCACATTTCCTTCTTTAAAAACATTACAGTTATTAATGGCTACTAAGTAAACGTTCATTTACACACCAATCAAGTAATGCTCTTTTTCCCTTTCTTTCCAAATTGTACAGAAACTTCAAATTAATCTTACCACATTCAGCCATTTTACCGTCTAAACTACAAAACAAGCAATATACTTCCTAAATAACACAAACACAAGCCCTTACGAATTTACCGCAATCATGCAACTGATTACTCATAATAGGATTTCCATAACATTCAACTACTTAGGCTACCATAAATTAAACAACAATGTGGTGATAAATGAAACAATAACCTTGCGATAATACAAAGCTTTCTCTCTAGCCAAAAATTATAATCTCAATAAACTGCATTTTAAATTTTAAAAAAAGTGAAATAACATAAAATGGAAATACAGTAAGACCCCGCTTAACACGGGGGATACGTTCCATCAAAGTAGAGCGTAATGCGAAACAGCGCTAAACGAGGCTATCTTTACATGTAAATATTGGGGTTAGGGGAAGATGGCTAGGAAATTGGTTACGTATTAAATTTAAAAAGTATGTTTTTTTAATAAAAATAAAGCCAAACATTTATTTCTTAAAGTCCAAATTAATACCACATTATTATTTCTTGCAAAAATAAAAACAAAATATAAATAACAAAAAGAATATTCTTAAAAAAAAACAAATAAAATTCTCAGTCATATTTAGTTAGCCTTCCGCGTTTTCAGTGTTCTGCCTTTTTGTGACAAAAGCATCTAATGTTGTTTGCCTTTTTCTTTTGCGTTGTTCTCTAAAAGTTCTTCATAAACGGATAGAGCATCTCTAACACCACACCTTACTTTTGAGCTCCTGTCAAAATTCGGATCATTTTCAATGAATTGATCCATTATTTCAGTTATGGTAGACAAACTCCTTTTTACAAACGCCATCGAAAGTTCTTTTTGCTCTTCTTCTGAATCACTGCTGTCAACATTTTTGTTTTCTTCTTGTTCAGTTAATTCCTTGAGCTCATCATTAGAAAGACTAGCCGCTGCTTCTTGAATTATTTCTTCGACATCTTCCACATTTACCCCTTCAAAATATGTCTGTACAATACCGTACCAAACAAGAAATACAAGTACACTCTTTCGGATATGTATATGAAACCTATCGCTGCATAATATTTCGGGGAATCCCTGTATGCTGCGAGCGATTTCGTGGAATCCCCGGGTTGAAATAAAAGAGCGCTAAACCGAAACTGCGCTAAACGAAACAGCGTTAAGCGGGGTCTTACTGTACATGTTATCTAATCTGCTCAGTACAAAAAGAAAATATTGACTTACCTTATTCATAAATTTCTGTGACTTTGGTTCGTGGCACACAGAATCCCTTAACATCCAAAAGCTGCTTAAAATTATCTTGATTAGAATCTATAAGCTGCCATTCCACATACCATGTTCACAACAGAAAGAATCAAAAATAGCCTCTGTAATGCCAGACAGGCATTTCTTTCAAAAATCTCTTTTTATTCCACCAGACATACCTTCGATAGTGTTCATATGAGCTCCGGTTTCTTAATCCTTAAATATCATTGTGTAATTTACTTAGAGGTCAATCAAGCCATCCAAACCTTCATTTACACACCAAGTCAATCAATGTTTTCATTCCAAATTGTACAGAAACTTCAGGTTAATATTACCACTGGCAGACATTTTACGGCATAAAGCACAAAATAAGCAATATACTTCCTAACCGACAACCATCACAAAAGGCCCCGAGAAATATTCTCCCAAATAATAAAAATTGGCACCATCACGAATTACAATCAGTCACGTCATAATTGGGTTCCAAAACATACTGAAGTGACCATAAATGAAACAACGACTTGAAGATAATCGAAAGAGTACCCCAAAATATAGACGACCTGGATGATTTAACAATATTCATATACTTCAAATTATGAACAACTAGATAATGTACTGTTGTAGATAAAAACACATCCTAAATACAGTGACATAAACTGCTATCACTGTTGTTATCTCATGCACTTTAACCTCACTTCTGCATGGAATGTAGAATTTTTTTTTCCCTGATTCCATCATTTTGCTACAAACTTAACTTTTTCTAGACTAGGCATGGTGAATCTTCCTTGCTTAATTAGAAGATGACTATATATGCTTCACCTCTTTCATACCTTGTAAGAATTGTAGACAAGAAAATAATTAAGAAATATTAAGAAATTTTATTTATTTCTATGGAACTACAAAAGTCATTCTTTTCTTAAACCACTGAATAATTTAGTATGTAAACAAACTACTAAATCACTCATAGCAGGTAGATAGAGGTGAATATATTATAATTAATTAAGTGAGTCTTTCTTTAGATACAGTAACAAAAAATGCATGACTGTTAAAAAGCGAATAATAGTATATGAATGATGGTATACAATATGTACAGCTATCTTTCAATAATTTCTTTTAAATACTATATAAACTCAAGCCCAACTTTTAAAATTTCCTGTGCAAATATTTATAAATTTATCAAAAGTATGCTCCTATGAGAAGAATAGTTCCTTTAATCATAATATCTAAGAATGTAAAAAGATGACATGCAATGTTTGTATAGCACTAAACAGCACTTCAAATCAAACATGATTCACCAAGTTTCAAATGCAATTCGGCAATACTCACATTTTTTCCAGATTCAGAACCAGCAATAAAGAACTGAGCACAGAAGTCAGAAGGCTTTATCTATTTAAAAAAGAAGAATGATACTGAGTAAATACAAAAGATATGTAATTCTAACATATTATGACCAAATTTCATACTCTTTAAAGAAAATAACAGCCAATAGACTTTATATTAATCCTTACAAGAATACTGATGCTCTACTATTTCATTCAGTTCTAAATACAAATACAGTTAGAATTTTTAAGCAGAAATGAGACAAATGTATATATAGACAGAGAACGAACTGTAATATTCACTGTTTTAAACGCAGTGCAGTAGAGTAAAACCAGATCAGAATCCAAAAACAAAAATAATGCAGAGTATATTAGTATACATAATATATGTTGTATGACCTTAAATTCACTTAGTTCGAAATCGAGTTATATTGTATATGTAACATAAAAAAATATGTAAATCAGCTTTTTAATTTAATTTAGTAATAGCCTTTTAATTACTCTTTTTTAATTTGGTTATTTCCTCTTTATTCTAAAATTAATAACATTTCTGAACTGCATCATTTCTACATTAATCTGTGCCACAAAGCTTGCATAATGCTGATGTCAGTTATTTCGGAACCTAAACTCTTGAGAACTGAACCTTCCTCTTTGGTGAGCTGCCGCCATATTGGATAAATGCTTACTTCGCTTATCTGTTGCTGCTTGGAGGTCATTTCGATGTGCTCCGTTCCTGTCGCAACTGTATTAAAAAATGTAAAATGTTCTGAAAATAGGCACGAGTAAACAAGTGGAAATGGAGTGCCAAGTGAACTGGGGATCTAAATGTGAATTTAAATAAAAATGGTATTTAATCTTCCTCTGCCAGTTACCTATTCATTACAGATTATGCCATCTACATGCTATGTAATCAGTATTTCCATGCTTCTACGTCGCAGTGTTCCAGCATCAGTACTCTTCTAAATCTGTTCTGGTCATATTTTAATGCATAGGACAAATCTGATACTTTAACAGCTTTCAGCAGTATGGCCGAGAGGTTGAATGCATATAGATCAAGATCACGAAACTGGTTTTTTACATATCACCAATCTTCATTTTCACATATATCCAATTAGTTTGGCAGACACTTGTTCAATCACAATTAAATATGATAAATTTCTATGTACATTGGTTTTTTTAAAGAAATGACATATGCATCCGAGAAGCAAAGCTGCACGGGGTTGGCAGAGCAGCACTTGCGGAAAAGAATGGAAGAATGATGTAGTTAATTCGCCAGCGGTATTTATATAAGTAGATGCAATTGTAGAGACAAGCTATGATTGGTTAACATTAGTTTTAGTTACCCTTTTCAAGTAGCATTATATAACATAGCAAGATCTCAAATTTGGGAGAATAGATGAATTTAGGGGAGAACACCAAATCTAGAATATAATTTTGAGGTCACCAATTATTCTTAAAGCAGCTATCATATTTTGCATTATCTTACATAACTCCTCCCTTCAAAAAAAAGGTTGGGAGAGCAAGGTGGCAGAAAAGCATGAATGAGTTAGTGAAGCAAGATAAAATTTATCATATGAGGAAAGACATGAGGAAGCATGATTCATGACCTTATGTTCCTCAAATTTATAATATGAGGAAAGGCATGAGAAAGCATCAAGGACACAATTATTTCAGCACACATGTTGCGGCCACAAACAAAGTTGGCATATTATTTATGCCTATTTCAAAAGCTTACATTTTTGATAAATTTGCAGCAAGAAAGCATCCAGCTAGGTCAAAGTGAAGAGCAAGTATGTTATGTTCAGGGTGAAATCTTAATTAGTTTTGGTTCTCAATGCATTTTGATTGGATAATTAATATTGCTGTAAAATTACTATTAGCTGTTTGAGTTTTAGTTCCATTTACTTTATCAGAATTATGTAAGAGTCATATGACATGGATTAATCTGGAAATGATGCAGTGCAGAGAAATCACTATTTTTAGAATAGAGAAAGAAAATTAATTTATGCTGCTAATTTAATCTTTTACATATTCTTTATTTTTCTTACATATATGTGTGTGTGTGTGTGTAATAAATTGGAAATTTTGTGTCATACAAGATGTAAAAAGAAATAGAAACTTGTAGACATACTGGACTTCAATTACTCATTAATTATTCATGGCTAGCACACATTCTTACTTAATCATACACTAATCACATGGGTGCTAAACGGGTCCGTGACACTTAGCCGACAGGACATTTAGCCGACACAGACACTTAGCCAACACGGACAGTTATCCGACAAGATATTTAGCCGACATGGACAGTTAAAGGACACATAGCCAATAGGACATTTGGCTAACACAGAAAATTAGCCGTCATGACATTTAGCTATGGGACATTTAACTGTCAAGACATTTAGTTAACAGGATACTAAGCCGACAATGACGTTTAACTGACACATACCCAATAATTATTTAAATTTACTATCAATTACAAAATTTCTCGACTTCTCCACGAGTTCAATATTTAAGTATTTTTTTCATTTATCAGTTAAATTCATTTTTCGATTCTTAAAGATCTCATATTTGCTTTTAATTATTGTGTGATGTGTATCGTGCTGTTTCGTATATATTGGCCAAATTGAAAAAGTGCTAAAATTTCTCGTCAGGGAATATGAATTAAATTTCGAAAGGAAAAAAGGATTTTTTTAGCTAAGTACGGCGGTCACTTAATTACATTTTAATATGGGATCTTTGAAAATTATGAGTACAGCTTTTTCATTTAATCAACTGGGTTCTTTTGAACACTTTCACATCATTAATAATTTTTCTTGTTTACTGATATTAATGATATTGATTTTTCAATTTCTCTTACAAATGCTTTCAAATTTCTAATGCCTTTACGTTTCATTACTATTTTACTCAATACATTACGTTACATTCTTTTCCTTACAAAATCGTTTTGCTCCTCCCACTAATGACATTTCCTTTCCCTGTCATGAAAAATCTGAATAATGCAATACAAATTATTATTATTCTTGAATTATACTTTTTATAGAAACATATGGTGGTGAAGGGTTAGTTTAGCAAATATATTTTATTTTGTTATTAAAAAAGCATTAAAAAATTGGTTTTTAAGAGAAGCAAAGGTATAAATTATTTGTGTGTGTAATGAGTGTTCATGCTACCATTCTTGAGATAAAAATTCTGTAACATTTTATTGACCACGCGTACCCTCTCTGACACTCTGATTGTCCTTAGGGGATTAGATTAATATAGCTTATTAAAGCCCAACTGGGCTAATATGCATAAGCAATTAGCATTTAAGCATTGACCATGCCTCTCTCATAAAATATTTAGCACTGAACTGGTACATAATGTATAATTTAGAATTTAAAATATCCTTTAAGATTTTGTTTTATTCATAACTGAATACATTTCTGCAAAAACTACATTTTTCACTCTTCATATATCGAAAACATTGCTGATGTGCAACTCCGGACATGAGAAAATCTACGAAGAGAAATCGGAGGAATCTGCAGAAGGAGGGGCACCAAGCAGGGCGGAGCAAAGCAAGACATCCTGAAAAGTTACTGTAATGTGGTGCCATCTGTCGATGCTAGAGTTAACAAGATAAGTAATGTAACTAGATAATATTATGTACTCTGTTTTGAAAGTCGCGATGTGTAATTTTCAATACAATATGTTATATTGTTTCATGTTTTTCTTATAAAATGTAACTTTCTCTATATCTGTTAAAAATGTATAAATTTTCATTTCACTTTAAATTAATTAATTTTTTTTTTTTTTTTTTTTTTCTTTTCATTCCCTCTCTTTCTTGTTTTTGTTTTAGCTACATGGTAATAGGGAAATTTTTGGTGTCCATTTTCCTGAATGCATTTATAGAGTTCTAGCCTAAAAAGACAATTTTCATTGGAAGAGAGTGGTTATATAAGTAAAACGGTCACTCTATTTCTGTTAAGCCCAGCAGCAGCCGAGCAGGTAAAGTCTCTGAACACTGGCAGTTCGGTCCGAATTTCGAATCCCACGAAGGACAGGCTGCATGGGTATTTTCATGCTTTTCTCCATGTATACAAGCCAGTTTTCCTTAAAAATTCCTCCACGAAGATATCTCTTCCCTTAGGAAGATAGCCCTCTGGCTTTGTTGTAATTATATAAACCAAACCTAGTTCTGTTAGGTGGCCGCAGGCCACGAGGTACGGAATCCCGTGCCGGAGCCCTTTCTCAGCTTAATAAATATACGATGCCTAATGGGTAAATAGCATTTTAGAAAAAAAAAAAAAAAGTAGTCCCAGTGGGCGAGGAGTATGGCGAATCACTCTACTTCTTAACAGAGAAAGGAAATTTCACTAGTGGGAGGAGCGAAACGACTTTATACGGGAATAAATGTCGTGTGATGTGTTGAGCAAAGTAGTAATGAAATGTGAAAGTATTAGAAATTTGAAAGCAATGGAAGAGCGAGACTCATTGTTGGCTTAATGTCCTGTCGGTTAACTGTCCGTGTCGGCTAAGTGTCCGTGTCGACTAAGTGTACGTGTTGGCTAAATGTCCTGTCGGCCAAGTGTTTGTGTCAGCTAAATGTCCTGTTGGCTAAATGTCTTGTCGGCTACCTGGTGTTGGTTAAGTGTCCGCGACCGGTGCTAAACCACCTTGTTCTTAAAGAATTTTTCCATAGGTACTGGAAAACTTGTGAAATATATCTTCAAATTCGCAGATGTAAAGCAGAGTGAAAAGTATTGTATTCAGAAGAATATGTGGGAAAAAGAGTAAAAAAGCTTGGTTCTCAACAGAAATCTTAATCAGTAATTGGATAAAAGATGTCCGCGCAGCAGTGTTACATAAGATTTTATGATGCAGATTAATTTTGAAATGATAATGTTTGATACGTTATAAATAGTTAATATTGTTACGAATTTGGTATTTAAAAAGCTAATGTTAGTTCAATAATAAATTAAATGGTTTTATTTCCCGCGCAGTGCAGCGCGTGACGAATATTAAAAGAAGAAAGCTAAGCCGGAAAATTAAAAATACAAGAGCACGTGCATTTAACATTAAATAAATAAATATGTCTTTTTGATTTCGAGAAAGTACCAGAAAATTCTTGCACTTGATTTAAAAATCTTATAAAAGGAGGAAAACCTCTCAGTTAGTAGTAGCTACTTAGTTTGTCGTTGTTTAGAAAACTGCTTTTGTTGATTGTAGCGAATTCGCGGATTAGCTTTCTTTAGCTGTTTTGAATTACGTTCTATTGGACATTTGAATAGTTAAAAGATAACTACAGTGAGATATTGTAATACTGCATGATAATTTGAGAAAATTTAAGAATTTTTTTTGTGATAATAATAAATTTTTGTTCATTTTTCATCGGACTTGTGCATTCATTTCGTAACGAACCCGTACGGACGCAACAATTTTTGGTGTCAGGAGTGGGGTTTGAATGCCAATTACAAGAGCGATGGAAGAGCAGTTAAGACAGCTGATATCAGCATTTGCTGCATTTAAAGAGGAAATGAAAACAGGCCAGCAAGAAATGAAAGCGGGACACGAAGAAATGAAAGATGAGATGAAATCTGGTCAGGAAAAGATGGAAGCTGGTCAGAAAAAGATGGAAGAATCCGTTAAAAAGGAAATGGAAGCTGTTCATGAAAAGTTGGAAGCTGGTCAAGTAACTTTTAAAGAAGACATAAAAGCTGTACAAGGAAAGATTGAAGCAGGTCAAGACGAAATGAAAAGAGAAATAACCTGCGTAATAGAAAGTAAATTTGAGGCTATGGAAAACAGAATAGGAGCTGTTGAAAATAAAGTCGAGCAAATAGAAGACAGAGTTTTGGCCGTGGAGCAACAAATAGGTTACAAAGTTGATTCAGTCAAAGAAGAAATAGAAGGAAGAGTTTGTTCTGTTAAACAACAAATCGAACAACAAATTGATGAGAGAGTTTCTACAGTTGTCAAAGAAATAAACTACTTTAAAGAAATTCGTAGCATCGGCAGGGAGCAGGAGTGATGATTTTAAATTTTTACCCATGCCTGCTCGACCCTCTCTGAAGTTATCCACTTATGATGGGAAGGCCTCCTGGCAAGTGTATAGAACACAATTTTCTATAGTGGTGGATGCGAATGGATGGGATTCCCAAGCTAAGGCCCGTCATCTCGCTGCTTCTTTGAAAGCAGATGCAGCAGATAAGAAGCTTCCAGAAAAACCAGAGATTAGACTTCGAAACTCTATCCAGCGCACTAGAGCTGCGCTTTGGGGAGAAATGCCTGAAAGACTACACTAGGCTTCAATTAAAATCCCGCCAACAGAAGCCAACCGAAACACTTCAGGAGCTCGCCACAGATGTTGAAAGGCTGTCCCACCTCGCCTTTATGGCATGCCCGAGAGAAACGAGGGAAATCCTGTCCCTGCAGTACTTTATTGATGGCATCCGGGATCCCGAAATACAGAAAGCACTGCGAATGGCGGATGTTAAAGATGTAAAAAGCGCTCTGCTGTACGCCGTAAAATTGGAGGCAGCCCAGCAAGCAACTCGTAGAGATCACTACCCAGTCAGAGCTGTGCGAGTCCACGAGCCAGGGGACCGATTGATGGCTAATTTAGATGATTTATCCAGACAAGTCGATGCTTTGATACGGAGTAGCAGTAAGAACAAAGTGGCTGTAAGGTGTTGGAGATGTGATTCTGAAGGTCACCTACGACGGCATTGCAGAACACCCCAGGGCACGGATAATAAAACGGATGAGTTGACATGACCAGTGAATGCTTTAAGACGGAATAGTGGTGAAACGAAACCGACCCTAAGGTGCTGGAATTGCGGTGTTGAAGGCCACCTACGAAGGAACTGCAGAACACCCCAGAGCACGGAAAATAAGGCATACAATTTAAACAGACAATTAAATGCTACAGGAAGGAAAAAGACTGACAAGAAACCAAAGTGCTGGAACTGCGGAGCAGAAGGCACATGCGAAGGAACTGCAGAATACCCCGAAGCACGGAAATTGAGACCATTTCCCAACGACGACAGAGGAAACAAATGAATGACCATATCGAGGAATGGAGGTTGCCAGAGAATGAAATACCTTGTTTTATAGCACTCAAGATTTCTACAGTGAGTGGCAACAGTAACGGACTGTCCATCAATGGGCATATCGACGGAGTTCCATGCAATATGATCATTGACACAGGAGCTAATGTTACCATCATTCGGAGAGATTTAGCTCAACAGTTTAAAGATAAACTTATTTGGACGCCATCCTCTGTTACCCTTCAGACTGCGAGTGGTGACAAGATCGACATAGATGAGAAGTTAAACGTGAACATCACGTTTGGAAGTGCCGCCTACCATCACACGGCATATGTGGCGGATATTACAGATCCATGAATATTCAGACTGGACTTTTTAAGGAAATACAATTTTTCCTTAGACTTCAAAAACAATAAACTGCTTTCAGGATCTGAAGACATGACTATCCATCCTAAGAAGGGATCCTCACCTGGAAATGCCGACGTCTTGTCGGAAAGCTGCCGAAATCATACTAGGGTCGAAAAGGAACCCAAGACTACCAACTGTTCTCCATCGCAAATGCTCCTTGGTAGTGACCTTCGTCTGCCTTGTGACCGCCTGTTTGATCGACATATGGATGCGCCTTCATCGCCTGAGGAATACATCCAAGATGTCCAGGCCCGTTTTGAAGTGATGCACCGTTCCGTACGAAAGCGAGTCAACCTGGCTGTGTCTAAATTAACTACAATATCAGACAAAGGTTTAAATAAACATCTTATTTAAAAAGAACTTAAAACATAAAGGCATGTTCTGATGCTAACAAAATCAATTACAGCTCACGGTGACGTAATTAAACAAGAACAGTCAAATTATACTAATAATATGGATGAATAGTGGTCAAAGATTATACAATTTAATTGTACATGTATGTACAATTCTTAAAAACGTGGCAAGCAGTTTGCGATTCTGCACTTTCTCTCAATTTCGCACCTAATCTTCGTCATGATTAAGCATTTTTGTTCCATAAAAGTTCTAGTATAAGTGTAATTCGGCTAGCAGATTGTTGGAAAAAATGTTGAGTAAAAAAAAAAAAAAAATGCCTTTACTTTGTGAAAACAAAATGTCATCCAAAACAAAACTAGCAGGTTGCTGTAGCAGGGTTGGTCGCCAAATTACAATAACGTAAAGATTCACCAAAGTTTTTGGATTTGCTTCATAAACAAATCCAAAAAGCTGCACCACTCAGAGTACCAAAAACTAGATTTATGTTAAAATGAAAGTACACATTAATTTAATTCACATATACCTTTGCATCATCGACTATTGTGATAGATTTCACTCCACTCAAAGTAAGGTTTTTTACCACTTCAGCTCCAAGACCATTCAATCCAATTACAAGGACTTTGGCTGCCCTCAGACTACAAAAGACAGTTTTAAAATAAAATTAGTTTTAAACAATATAGGCAGATTTACATATTATACAAATGAAAACCACTTAGTCATTTGCAAAGTGTACTTATACGTACACACATATATACACTATACACACATATATCACATACAAACACTTCTGAATTCATCCTCATAACACAAGAGTATCAATATTTTTGAAAGTTTATGATAGAAATAAATTTATATAGCATTTGTAAACGCAACATATTAATTTTATTTAAAATGTATTTTCCCGATTGGCAACAACAGTTTTTTTCAGAACGGTAATAATTTGAACTGCAATGTTATTTTTTGAGCAGTAATGTTGACGGTAATGTTTCTGAATAAAGCAAGTATTTAACAATTAACGTTTGACGGAATGTGTTTTTAATAAAGGAACTAATTAATTGCTAACATTTCAGAAGTGGGATAAACTAGAATTATTATCTAGATTTAACAACGTATTGCCTTAACGTATGCTAAGCCTAAACTGAATGCGGAAGCTCGCCAAAACTGAAAGTAGAAAGGTACGTGAATTTATAAACTGTTTATGTTATGTCTAAGTATTAAACGGAAAGAACTTAAGTATAATTATTGTATTATTATTTGAAAATTGAAGTCTAAGATGGCTTGAACTTGCTTTGGAACTTGATGTAGATGTCCCTTCTGATATTAAAATTGTAGGCTTAAGAGATATGATTTTGAATAGTAAGAATTATAATGAAGACTTTACTAAAATGCTAGCTAGAATTATAAATGATCATTTAGACAGGGAAAAGTTAGAAAGTTTAGAAAAAGAAAAAGATAAGCAAAGTGCATTTGAAATGGAAATTATAGAAAGAGATAAGCAAAGAACTTTTGAACTTGAAAAATTGAAAATAGAAGCAGAAATCAGAAGTAGTAATGTAAATGATTCTGTTCCTTCTAATGTTAGTAGAAGTAATATTTGTGATATGAGTAAATTAATGCATAAGTATGATTTGAATGAAGGTGATATAAGTTTTTATTTAGTTTTATTTGAGAGACAGGCACGACGTATTGGGTTAGAAGAAAACTGGGTTTCTCAGCTGTTGGGGGTCTATTGCCTTATGAAATAACTCAATTAACTGCCCGTGAATCAGAAGAAAAAGCTAACGACTATAAGCACATTTTAAACAACTGCTACTGAGAAAATTTAAGTTAAGCCCTGAACAGTTTCGACAAAAAGTTCGTTGATCATATTAAAACATTGCGTAATACGTGGAAGGACTTCAGGTTTGAATTAAAAAAATTATTTTGAAGAGTGGCTTGCTTAAATGTAACAGATTTTGACTCTTTAAAACACTTATTACTGACTGAATTAAAGAAAAGGGTCCCGCTGCTATCCAAGACCATTTCATTAATGAGTCTAAATTCATTAATCCGAAGAGTTGGCTGAAAAACTAGATGAATATGAAAATATTCGGGCAGGGATAAAGTACTTCAAGCAGAAAATAAACTTTTAGGCATAATTCTAAGCCCAAATCTGGTTCTAAATTTTATGAAGGATCCTAATCAGTATTCAAGACAAAGAAATGTTAACGATTCCATGCAGACAGATGGTAATTTCAAAGTAGATTTTAAAAACAGTTTTGATAATAAATACAATCTGAGAGATAATTTTATAAAACAGACGAAAGGAAAGGTAATATAATCTGGCATCCGCAATGAAAAGGGTGAGCCGAAATGCTTCAATTTGTATGATTATGGACATATAGCGACGATTGTCCGCAGCCTAAAAAGAAATTATTTGCAGGAATGTAATAAAAGGGTCATACTTTAAAAAGTGTACGTCTGAGATCCAGACTTGACAAATGTTAAAAATAATTTATCCGGGTACCAGAATTCAGGTGTTTCACCAGCTGTATATTTAAAGTATGCTCACATCAATAATGGGAAGAAATTACTGCAACATAGATACGGGTTCTAGTTCGTGTTTATTGAAACGACCGTCTGCGGCCAAGAGACTGAATCTTTGTAAATGATGTGTTGGGCTTCCGTAAACAGGCGAAACTTGGGAAAAGTAGTTAACTTAGAGATTGAAATGTGGAAGGAAAGGTCGTTTCTAATGGGAAGCACCCGACTTATTATTGGGAGGGATTGATTTACCACTCCCATATGCCAAGATAGATTAATACCTTGCACATACTGGTGCTATGACTACCCATTTTCACAGTTGCAAAATGATAGCAACACTCTGGCGATTAAAGAGGCTTCCCTCCCTGAGAACTCAAATCAAAGTAATACGGTTAATTTCGTGAAAGTTAAAACTGATGAAATAAATAACGGTTATGTTTTAATAAGTGGATCGGAGATGAGTTGGGCTTATTATTGGAAGTAATACAGGGAGAAACAGTGATACCCGGGAAACCACTCACAGCTATCGAACTATTTTGAAAAGAATCAATGTATCGTAGAGCGGAAGTACAGAATAGTTAACCAAGTTCATATCAGAAAACTGAAAATTCAAGTCAAAAGGAAATACTGATTTAATAAATTAAAAGTTTACGAGACCGTACTTTAGAAGAAATTAAAGTTAATAACAAATTACGCCACAGAGAAACGGAAGTTTTACATTTGAAATGAGTATCGAGATTGTTTTGCATTAAATATGGAGGAAGGGTGTACAAACTAACAAAAATGGATATTAAAGAAATTGAAGGAGTAAGCCTATTGCATGAAGTCGTATAAACCAATGCCGAAGAGCGTTTCTATAAGAAGATAATCAATGAATGGAAGAATGTGGAATTGTTACTGAAACAGATCTCCATATGCTAGTCCATTTACTCGTAAAGAAAAAGGTTTACTTAGTGATAGAATACAAGTTGATTCCGCAAACTTAAAAATAAATTTCCACCCATAGGATGATGATCTTCCTTGAATGTCTTAGTGAGGTAAAGTTTTCACTACATGGACTTACTCATGGATTTTTTGCAGATTCCTTTAACTGAAGAAGCGAAACTGAAAACACTTATCACTCCAGATGATCTGGTCAATTTGAACGTATGATCTTTGGGTTAGCTAATGCCGCAATTCAGAGACTAAATCAATTTTAGGTCCAAATAAAGAAACACTATTGGACGACATTTATTCCAGATAAGTCTTGGAAGAAATGATGGAAAAAAACTTAATGTTATTGAGAGAAGCAATGCTGACATTGAAACTACAAATGCGATTGGAAAAGAAGTGTATTATTTCTAATAAAATCAAATGGTATGCAACCTGGACCACGAAAGTACAGCAATTACCTTTCCTAAACCACCCATGACCTAAGTTAAAAAACAAGTTCCAACTTTAGAAGGTGTTACCGAAATACCAGAGAAAGTGAGCCGCTAACAGACTGACGAGGAAGATGAAACATTGGAACAAGATCAGCAAGAAGCTTCAGTACTTTAAAGGATCATTTACTAATGAACCAATACTAGCATTATATACCGAAGCAGAGACTGAAGTGCAACAGACGCGAGCAACTAGGCTGGCAGAATGCTGTTGCAAAAGGTGAAGATAGAAAGTGATTTAGTTTATCTTGAGTAAAGGAATAACAGAACAAAAAATTCCAAAAACAGAATGGCTATAGTTTGGGCTTTGACACAATTTCGACAATTTTAAATTGGATCCGATTTTACGAATTACAACTGCCAGCTTATTTATTTAAACCAAAGAAAACCAACCTCAATAAAGTGGAAAGATCCATGAATACAATCTTGAAATAAAGCACAGACAGAAGAAAATGAGTTCATGCTGCATTGAGCCAACGCCAATCACCAGAAGAAACTTTAGACTCTATAATTGAAAACACTTGGAGTTTGTTTAACGCTAACAATACAACAAATTCGATGATTCAGCATTCAGATCAAGAAACGCAAATATAAACAAAGAAAAAGATAATGATAGAATGAATATGTTTTAACAATTTGAAGATGTATGATTAAATGGGAAAATAGAAAAAAAAACAATGGGAAACCTGCAAACATAAAATGAAAGAAAATAATGAGAGAATACGTCAGAGGTAGGCCATTTGTAATAATTGATAATATTTGCAGATTCTTTAACTGAAGAAGCGAAACTGAAAACAGCTTTCATCACTCCAGATGATACTGGACAATTTGATCGTATGATCTTTGGTTTAGCTAACACTCCTGCAGAATTTCAGAGACTTATGAATCAAGTTTTAGGTCCATTGCTTACCAGAAAAGTATTATGCAATTTAGATGACATATTAATTCTGGCTAAATCTTGGAAAGAAATGATGGAAAAACTTAGAAAAGTGTTTGATAGATTGAGAGAAGCAAAGCTGACATTGATGAAACTGACAAAATGCGAATTTGGAAAAGATGAAGTTGAGTATTTGGGATTTCTAATAAAATCGAATGGTATGCAACCTGGACCAAGAAAAGTACGAGCCATATTAAATTTTCCTAAAACCAACCAATGAACATGAAGTTAAACAATTTTTAGGTCTTGCAAGTTTCTTTAGAAGGTTTGTACCGAAATATGCAGAAGAAAGCTGAGCCGCTTAACGAGACTGACGAGGAAAGGATGAAACATTTCGTTGGAATGAAGATCAGCAAGAAGCATTCAGTACTTTAAAGACATCATTTAACTAGAAACCAGTACTATGGAACCAGTAGCATTATATAATCCGGAAGCAGAGACTGAAGTGCACACAGACGCGAGCATCAAACAGGGCTGGCAGGAATGCTGTTGCAAAAAGGTGAAGATAAAAAGTGGCATTTAGTTTATTGTGTATGTAAAGGAATAACAGAAACAGAAAAGAATTATCATTCAAGCAAATTAGAATTAATGGCTATAGTTTGGACTTAGACACGACTTTCGACAATTTTCAATTGGAATCCGATTTACGGTAATTACAGACTGCCAAGCTTTAGTTTATTTAAACCCAAAGAAAACTTTCAAATCCTCAGATAGCAAAGGTGGAGTAATCTGATCCAGGAATACAGTCTTGAAA